CTGGTAGTGATTTTAACCAGAAGGCCAGCACTCCTCAGGTGAGGTTAAGAAAGCTGGACTTGCATGATAACCTCGGTGGGTATGGGAATTGAAGGGAGATGTGTGTTGATTCAATATTGCCCTGAACCCAAGTGCAATCCCCCAGTATATGTAAACCAAAATCACTATCCTGCTGTTCCTTAATTCAGAGGGCTAAATATTGCTTTAACAAACATGATATTTAAGCTTTGTGCCCGCGGCACCTCATTCTTGATTCTAGCACCACTAGAAACAGCTTCCTTCTTTCTATTCATCCAATGCTTTCATAATTGTAAAACTGATACAGATATCCCAGGTGGGAGCAAGCCAACAGCTACAGGCAAAGACATGTTGGGCTACAGTGACCTTGACTACAGCAGGAAATGCTATGTTAGCTGCAGCAGACATGTGGCAACCCCATGGTCTTATAAATAAAAGATGAACAATTAATAATCAAAAGATCTTGTATAAAAATCATCAGTTTCTCTTTTGGTCAAACATAAAGCAAAATGGATTGACAGCCAGTTTATAAACCTCATTAATAGATTACTCATCTCTAACAAGTCAGATTTCTTTAAAAGAATTCCATTTCAACATCCAAAAATGATATACTAAAATGTTTACTGAGCTCCACAGCATAAGCATTGCAGAGGGTACAGTACTCCATGGAAAGACTTGTGGGTCATTCTTAGGTTGCTATTGGGTATGTCAAGGATCAATATTTGGGACTCAGCAAATCACAACATATATCAGTGATCTGGATGTGGGCACAAATGTAATATTTCCAAATTTGTGGATGACACAAAACTCAATGGAAATGTCAGCTATGAAGAGGATGTGAAGAAGCTTCAAGAAGGTATGGACTGGCTGAGTGAGTGGGCAAGGAGATAGCGTATGAGATATATGTAGATAAGTGTGAAGTTATCTACTTCGGTTGGAGGAATGAGAGCACAGGCCTTTTTCTAAAATGTGAGAGATTGGAAATTATTCATATCCAAAGAAAACTAGATTTCTTGTGCATAAGTCAAGGGAAGTCAATATGCAGGTGCAACAAGCAATTAGGATGGCTCCTATTACAATCAGATTTGCGTACGGGGTAAATCTGAATCACTTCAATTGTTTAGAACCTTGATGAAACTGCACCTGGAACATTTTATGCAGTTTTGACCTCTGACCTGGGAAGAACATATTTGCCATAGCTGAACTGTGTGCAGTGAAAGTCCAAGAGACTAATTCCTGGCATAGTGAGAATATCCTGTGTGGAGGATTGAGAAGGTTCAGCCTGTATTCTCTAAAGTTTAAAAGCAACTTCCAAAATTCTTAAAGGTCTTGATAAGGTGGATGAAGAAAGGATATTTTTACTGCCTTGTGAGTGAGGGTCTAAAAACTAAAAGTAAAGTCTCAAACTAATGGAAAAGCCATTCAAGACTGAGGTAAGGAAGGATTTCTTCACTCAAAGAATAGCATCATATTTGGAATTCTCTTCCCCAGAGGGTTGTAGATACTCAGTCATTTAATTATTTACAGCAGTAGTGTTTGGTTAAGTGATTGGACAAGTCATTGATTGCTCTACCCTGTAGGTGGAAGAGTCAGGTGACTGACTTCTGAATCTCAAAGAAAATTCTAAACAGTGAGAGAGAGAGAGAGAAAAGACATGCTGTTCTTGTCTATGACTACATGTATATTGCAAGTTCTGTAAAGTTTAAAGATGTCTTAAGTCATGTCAATAAACTGTTTGAATTCAGAAAGATCTCTGCGTTACTCTGAGATAAATAAGGTAAATAGCAAACCAATTCAACCATAACAACCTCAGAAAACAGCTTTGTCTACCATAACAAAAATTGGATGCCTAAGCACTCTCATGAGATTGCATGTAGAGGTCAATTTTACTTTAAAATCATGTCCCTGGTAATCAATCTGTGAAAGTTGGCATGCTTGCTATTGATTGTGGATTTTGTTGCAGGAGGTGGCATGACTTTGTGACAGCCTCCTTGGCAAAACTGCTTCCTTATGCACTGCCAGTTGACTGTAGGTATGTGCTGCTAAGCTTCATTGTGTTGGGAGGGTATGGATTTGTATAAGCAGACCTCCTTCTGTTTTCTCTCCTTGTTGTGTATTGTCTTTGCTCCTTCCTCTTGCTGCCAATCCTCCTTTATCAGCTACAAGGACCGTAATATAAACAGAAGTGTGATGATGGAATCTTCCTATGATTACTGAACATTCCACACATTGACAACCTTTTGAATTTGACTATGCAGCAAAAACTCAGTGCTGAATACATCATTAATGGCACAAAATCCTCTAGAATTTTACCATATGGGAATCCCTTTAAGCATCTCAATCTAAAAATTGCAGCCACCCAAATGATCTAGCCCGTTTGTGGGTGAGATCAAGAACTAGTACGAGCAAAAGCAGAAATGGTGAATGGGTTTGTAATAGCATTGTACATTTATTAATTAGGCCTGATTCCATAGTATCTTCCATTACCTCAAACTGCCCCAAGATCAGAACTTAACGAGAATAAATGCTCATGTAATTCTTTAAACCTACTGGCAATTTCACTTGCACCACTGCATATCTTTTAGCACAGAACATTCAGTATCAAGATGAAAATCAGCTCCTATGTTTGCATATCATAAGTTGACTATGATGAAATTGATGTAAGTAGTCTAACATGTTAATCTATCAGATAAAAAAAATCACATTGTGAAGAAAGTCAAAAATGTTGCAGGGAATCTCTTCTGATAACTTTAAGGTGTAATTATTTATGAATGAGTGGAAAAATATAAACTTTGGTGTTAAGTCAAGCACATTTATATGCATTATTGAGGGAGTTCCCAGTTGATAAAACAATGCAGATACTTTTTCTATTAATAAAATGTTTTTCAATATATCACTTATTCTAATGGTTACTTAGCAACCAGTTTCCTGCAAAATTAATATCTTAATCAGTGTGGTAGCAAGTGAATTGTTTTGTGGTTAGAACTTATGTTCATGCTTGTCCAACAGTACTATAATATTAAGTAAGATGCCACCTCAAGATTTTGCAACATATTCAGCTTTTTCTTAATATATCTATGGAATAATAAAAACAAAGATAAATCGTTAAATCAATAGAACTTGAATTTTATTAATGCTAAAGAAGACCACTAAAACAAGGAGCAGCTGAAGCCTGTCTTTTTTATTTACCTCTTAACTCAACCTTTCCTTTTATAAAAAAAATTCAAATCATATTATGATGCAATAGGGAATGGAGCAGTCTAGACACCCAGCCTGGGCAATATTTCTTTTTTGCAAGTTCTATATATTTGCTTCTAATGCTGTAATATTTTGGAATTTTTACTCACCCAACCACAAATATGTTATATTCCAAAACAGTCAATATGTTTTAACTCAAATTCTCTGACAAATTCATGTGTGTATGTTTATATCTTTTGTCTAAATTGTTATCACCGAGGCTGGAAGAGTGAACTGTCTCCTTCCAGTTCAACTGCTCCACTGGTGACAACATAAATTTACCCATCTACCAATGGGGCCAATTACATACTTCATCTATATTGGGTTCAATATAAAATGATTAATCAATCAAGTTTAGTTTGACAAACAACAAAATTATTGATTTATTATAAATACAGGAACTGAGATTTGATAAAGCTGATTAGCACAGTTTAATGTATGGAACTACAAATATTTACTTTCCTAAATAACTCAAAATATACACAAATATACACACTTATCAGTTAAAAGAAACACAAAGAAACTTTAGCATTTTGTCAAATCTTTTCATCGTGCACTCATCAGAGTTCTCAAGAAGTGTTATTTGTCGAGATTCACTTTGTAAAAAAATTCTTCTCCCAAGTACTTGTTACTTCTCAGAGAATAAAAAGATAATGAATGAAATGCTCCAGATGGCTTTCAGTCTGACATCCCTGCACCACATAACAGGATGTCACTTGACACATGTATTTGTCGTTGGGATCTTCTCAGAAGCGCAACATTCAGGAAATGTTAAGAGGAAGTCTTCCAGAAACCTCTCAGGTACGATATCTGTTGCGGTTTATCAGCTCTCACTGGGAATCCCCTGAATGGTTTCTCAGAAAGATGGCAAAGGCTGAGCTGGCTAACTTATCCCTTCACAAGCTAAGCACACATGAACTTTAAACAGTATCAAAGAGCCAAAATCCTGACAGCAATAAGCACAAATATGTGACTTACCATAAGTCGAAACAGTTCCACAGTCTATCAGCCTTGGCTGTTTACTTAGCTTAAAACATGGGACTGCCAGCAAGTGGTTTGAAAAATAAGTATCCCACTGCATCCTTTCAGTAATGGTTTAAGAAAGCTAGGCCCTGGTATCTACTCAGCACTTCAACTGACTAATTTTCATAATCTTGTACATGTCAGTCCTCAAACTATATTAATAATGCATGTGCCTTAATTGAAAAAAAATTGCTGGCTAGATTTCTAAAATAAAATGTAAGTACAGAAATACCTATTTTGGCTTAATTCATGAGCAGTGTATAATAGAAATATTTTAACAGTTGAAAGTGTCTGAATTTAAAGTTTTACATGTATTGATCAGCAACACTACAGAAGATGAGGTAAAGTAAAACTCAGTCCATTCAGTTCATCATTCTTGAGGTTGATTTGGTTACACACAAGACAAAGTGCAAATGAATAGGTTATGCAATGAACCAACCCCTTTTGCAAGTTTAGTTCCTGGAAGTTTGGAGGACATTGTAAAAATGAGCAATTGAAGTTTTGATAATGGACATTGATAGAATTAAGACATAAAATGGTTAACAATGTGAAAGCTGTACTTGAATTTGAGGTAAGTATCATTTCAAAGGTGTAAGTTAGAATAAGTAGGTGGGTGGTTTGGTGGTTAACGACAGATGTATGATGACACCGGATGTAACATTTATTTTAGCATTTTGACTTCCCTGTCAGTTCAGTAACACTTCTGCATGTAACACTGAAATTGGCTATAAAGAAAGAACAAGCAATGCTGTGAGATACATCAACAACAACAACAAAAACAGAAGTTTCTGGAGAAGTTCAGTAAGTCTGGCAGCATCTGTCAAGAAAAAACTCAGAGTTAACGTTTTGGATCCGGTGACCCTTCCTCAGAACTGTGAGATACATCAATTGTCAGGATGGGTTTTATTTATCATGCAACTGCTCTTTTGGCATTAAACATGAATGGTAAGTGGCTCCTATGTTTGATTAAGTAATATTTCTTATATTGGAAGAACAAATTAAAATCACTCAATAAAGTAGAGAAGAATGCAAAGATGAAGTGATAATATGAAGATAGTGCAGAAACCCTTGGCAAGGCTACACAGAGTAGAATTTGGAAATACACAATTACACTAGTATTCTTGCACTGATAGAAATTGTTTTTAGGTTGGATTGGAGGTGTAGGCAATATGTTCCAATCTAACTTCCAAATGTAATACAGAGGAGCTGTGGGATTTTTTTTGAAACTGGTAAAGTAAATTCAGCATAGCTACCTGTTGCCTGCTATTTTAACACACCACCCTGTTCCCTGACCAATGTCTCTGTCTCTGGCTTGCTGCAGTGTTCCAGCTAAGCCCAACGCAAGCTGGAAGAGCAACACTCATTTTCTATTTGGGGATCCTGCAGCCCTCCAGACTGACTATTGAGTTCAATAATTTCAGGGCCTAAACTCTCCCATGTCCCAGTCCCCTAACCCACACACCAGGCCTTGTTATCACGTAGCCTGCCATTACACACCCACTGTTGTTAGTCACTAACAGTCCCCATTAACAACTATTCACCCTCCCAGCCTGATCGTTAGCAACTCCTTTGTTTGTCCAACTGTTCTTCTCTCTCTTTGGGCTCTATCCTATCATTTACTCCCTACCCCACCCACCCTCCCTATTTTCTTCCTATAAACTGACATTATCCCAGCCACTATCAGTTCTGAGAAAGGGTCATTGGACCCAAAATGTTAATTCTGATTTTTTCTTCACAGATGCTGCCAGACCTGCTGAGCTTTTCCAGCAACTTCTGTTTTTGTTCCTGATTTACAGCATCCGCAGTTCTTTCGGTTTTTTTTAAAAATGTAGTTCAACCTGTAGCACAACTTGGGTCTTCCAAACTGACTCTACAGATACCAGTGTGAGACCAGTTAGTGTAACACAACTAGTGAAAAATGGATATGTGAGAAAAATATAGAGAAAGTTGCTAAATTACAGATTATGAAAGTAAAACCCATTTATAAATCAGAACAGCTTGTAACTTGCCATACAGTTACATGGTGCATGTCTTTATGTAAGCCGTTTGAACAGGAAAATATACCTTAATCATTATATTGCATAAATTCTATGGTGTTAAGTACAAAATAGTTGCATACATGAGAGCGATTTAATCATGATTTGCTTTTCTGGTATTCAAATGAAAGTTGTGATCTTCTCAAAATTTTTTACGTGATTTGAGATTGTCCAAGTAGATTGACCTCTTGAAGTTAGCACCAGCATATATTATATTCTTTACAGTTGCAAATATGATGAAATTTCATATCTCTATGTGGTAGAATGAAATGACCAATTACACACGCGTGCTTCAGCAAATAAATTAATTACTATCAAAAAAAGACAAATTCTGTTGCAAAACTGTCTAAATAATCTGAAGTCAATAAAATATTAATTTTGTGAGATCAAGTGGAACAGATATTATGTTCCAGGCAGTAACTGCACTTCAAATAGTACAGTAGGAGGAGATGGTTGAGGAATAGTAATGTCATTAGATTAGAAATCAGGAGGTCCAGGTTAATGTTCTAGGGAAATAGATTCAATCATAGAATACCTACAGTGTGGAAACAGGCCCTTTGGCCCAACAAGTCCACACCAACCCTTGGAGCATCCCCCCAGTCCCATCCCCCTATAACCCACTTAATCTACACATCCCTGAACACTATGGGCAATTTAGCATGGCCAATCCACCTAGCTTGCACATCTTTGGACTTTTGGAGGAAACTGGAGCACCCGAAGGAAACCCACGCAGACATGGGGAGAATGTGTAAACTGCACACAGACAGTCGCCCGAGGGTGGAATTGAACCTGGGTACCTGATGCTCTGAGGCAGCAATGCTAACCACTGAGCCACCGTGCTGCCCCAAGTCTCATTTAAATTCAGCTCATAAAAAATTTGGAACTGAAAGCTATTCCTGACAATAGATCGTAGTGACAATCCGTCTGGTCCAATAACATCCTTTTGGCAATCAAACCTGCTATCCTTAACTGTTGTTACCTACATGTTGACTCCAGACCCACAGAAATTTTGTTAACTCTCAACTTGTGCAGAAATAGCCTAGCAAAACACTCAGTTGAAGGCAAGTAGGGATGAGTAACAAACACTGGCCTTATCAGCCATGCCCAAATCCCATGAAAGAATAAATAAATTTTTAACAAGTACTTTGCTGATTCTAAAGCATTTTGAGATATCCAGTAGTTGTGAAAAATACTACATAAATGCAAGCTTTTTCTATAAGAATAATGCTGGTTACTGGGCTGTATCCTACTTCCTTTTCCCGTTCCCCTGCACCTCCGTTTCTTCTGACTGGTTTACCCTATGTTTGTCCAGTGTTGGTGAGCTACAGAAACAAAGCTTGTTTGGTGCATTTGATTCATCTGCAACATAGCCTTGAAGTCTGAATCTAAATGTGGTTCAGTTCTCACCCAGTAGGGTGTGTACAGGATCCACACCATGTTTTGAGCAGAAGTTGATATTGTGTCTTTATATTTCATGCTATCATACCGAACACTTTTCAGGAATATGAGCCTTTTCTCTACATGCTGCACATCCACCTCAAATGTCCATTTCCTTGTGTTGATGCCTCACCTAAATAACCTTCCTCCAATTCATTCCAAACAGCGTCTGCAAAGGTTGTGTATATTTAAATAAATTATGTTGTTTTAAAAGGCTTGATACACCTTTTAACTTCCCTGCAGCTATTTCCCTTCAAATCACCACATTATTAAACTTTAAAGTGTCTCTTTAATTGCTATATGTGATTGCATATATGATTCCTACTTGTGTCACACATAACCAGTGACACTGGGAATTTGTTTAAATGTCATTTATGGCTGGTTGAAGTCCATTCAGTTTAGCTCCCTGGTATCTGGTATGTGAAAAGACTTGAACAATAGGATCTTGGCAGTCTTTTTAGCTGGAATCCTGAAGCAGCTGTGAACAGTTGGAGAGGGGCAGTGCCTATGATGTTCTGAGATTACCCTTATGCAGGCGGAACCCGATGTGAGGAAGTCCTGGATCTGCTTTCCCACCATATTTTCTCTCACTAGTTCCAGCAGCAACTGTTTGCATCTGAACAGACTGTGAAACCTTGCATGTTTAAGAATATGAGAACATTGGCTTTTTATTATCTTGCTTTTACTAAGAACTGTGCAATTAATGACTTTATTTTTGCTGGGATTCAGCTTTGTTGATTTTTTAAAAATCTATAAAACCTGTTAAATGAAAATCCTATAAAATGGCAGGATTTATAATATTGGACAGATGTTTGTTTTCAGTCAGTGTTGAATTTGAAAAGGTTTGGAATACTGCGTTAGCTTTAGCCTGGAATTTAATTAGCCAAAAGCTCACGTGCATTGGCAACGTTACGACTGTAATTTCAACTGACGCATTTTTACATTTTGTTGTCAGATACAATATATAGAAACAGTGGTAGTGATGTGGTCAAAGTCAAAGCTGACCAAATACCTTATCAGTTGAGGAAGTCATCCATGCTGAATCAGTTCTAGCAGTGTTTTAATTTTAACTCTAACCCAAAGAGCAGCCCAGAACCTCAAAACCTAAAAGAGATAATTTTGAATTATGGTCAAGTGAGCATGGGCCCAAAAATAGACATTCTAAATTGACCCACAGCCGGAGAAATCAAACCTCGTGGAAAATTGACCAAACTAAGTTAAACAGCAGCCAGCAGTTATCGACTATGAATAGGAAAAATCAAGATCAAAGAGTTTACAAAGTTTCAAGGAAAGCCAGTTACAACCAGCCCAAAGGTTGCATATCGGAAATGAGTTGATCAGACATTCTGGCAGCTTGACTGCCTGAGTATGTGTACTTTACACCTCCCAGCATGGCAACATGGTGATAGCATGACCCGATGTGAACCCGGTCCATGACCCCCATTGAGCAAAGGCCACAGAATATTCTGGAAGGTATGGGGTGATGGGAGAGAAAAATACACACTCCTTGAAGCCTGTCACTTAGTTAAGTCTCATTGAAGATTTAGCAAAGACTGGCGAAGACTTGCTGGGAAGACTTATAGCAAGACTCACGGCAGAAAACTGCAGCAACCCAAGAAGACCCAGGAGAAGACCCACCCTGATCTGTGAGATCCACCTAGTGGAAGAGAGCCAGCACTACGTCAGAGAGGAAGGAAATTCCAACAGCCCAGCTCCAACATGTGGATAATATTCTTTCTCAAACAGATAGAGCTAGATAATAAGGAATATTTTGTTAAGAAAGATCGAGTTGAATTGCAAATTGAATTCTGTGTCCCTTTGTCTGCCTCACTGATGAGCACTTGGGTAAAGTGTTTTTAATACACAAATTGATCAAAGTGTCCAAAGCACAGACAACAGATTTCAGTCCTTTGTTATTTTAAATAATTACTATGCAAAATTGCTTATTAGCTATGTAGGTTTCAGGATTTATTTTATACATAGAACAAACCAATCAAAAATATTTAACTTTCCTAAACTGACTTGTAATTTCATTTTGTTAGTTGTATTTTTGCCCTGTCGGAACCTCCAGGTCATCATTTTGTGTGTAAGTAGACTAAAATGATACAGCTTATAGCCCAAAATTTTCTCCAGATAATATGCTATACAGCTGCTGGGTTGTATGAAACTTAATGGACTTAATGCAAAGCTACGTGCCCATCAGATCACAGTGTGTTGGGCACAGCCAAACTCCATTATAAGATATAGAAGCTTGAGGCCTCCTATATTGTGGAGACTGGGTTTGTTATTATTGAAGGCCTGTTTTCCTGGCAAATGTTAAGCTCATTAAGCTTTGTGAAAAAAAATTAATGCTCTTGCACCATAATATATTCTTGCCACCTGAACAATGCAGCACCTCAAATATAAATACAGCTTCAAGGCTGAGTCTTGTTAGTGCCTGTAACAGAAGAGAAGCTTGTTTGATAGTTGGAA